ATGTGGGAACTTTTGCTATAATAATAATTGCAATGAAAAAAATATATAATAAAGTACACATATGGTACAAATATCCCATATCAAAATGACTAATTTGAGAGAAACAGCATATCCCACCCATCACATAAAATAATATATTGAATGAAATTTGATGTTTGATATAATCGATAAATGTATCATTTACTCACTACCTACAATATATTAAACTATTATGCAATTCTTATTAAATATTAAGTAAATTATAAATATTTAAATTTGTTCACGCATTCACCATAAAACTAATAACACACCAGACATAATCACAACCATTCTACAACCATTGTGCATACCTTCTTTTTGTCCAGTGATCCTTTATGTTATTTAGATCTATAGAAGAGTGTAAGAGTTATATGATTAACGTTTATTAATGTACCTTTTCAGCTTTTTATAAAAAACAATAATTTAATTTAATTTAATTTAATTTAAATAAATAAATAAAACGTTTTATTTATTCAAAAACATCTCAAATCACTAACCAGAATATCAAACAGAATCTAAACTCTCTATTAAGATTGTTCTTTATGGCTCTAGCAATTGTTAAATAATTTATTATTTTCAAAGTAAACATATGATTTACCAAATGCAAAAAAGTCTTTCAAAGCTAACTTCTGAATTACTTCACCTTTTTCCGAATTACTTTGAAAATATATAAAATAGAAGTTGAAAAATTAGAATATATTGTTTATATTGTTCAACAACATCTAATTTATTATTAAAAGTGACAAGGAGAAAACGTTGTTGTAAAAATAAATCGGTTTTGGTGGCCAACAATTGGTTTAAAGTCAGGCGATGCAAATTTTACATATGAAATATATGTGGTGTAACTGATGCTGATCATTCCATAAAATAGAAAGCCTGCTATGTTGATCCGCACTGTAGACTAAGTGAAAATAATGTGGATTGTGTTAATAACATTCATAATAATTATAATAATTGAATAAATACTCCCCCCTTTGATTGTTCTATGCTGCTTGTAGGGACACCTCAAGTGGTATAGTTGTAAATATTTCTTGTATATATTCTTTTTATTTTATTTTATTTTTTAGGCTTATGCCAGCAGTACTTAGCATTAGTACTGTAGAGAGAGAGAGAATTGCACAATAGAGTATTTTGAGTAGGCTCTGAGCTGTGTGCGGATACAGAGACCTGGTATAGAGTATTGAGAACCCTGAGCTG